TGGGAGCTTTTAAGAGGTGCCACGACTGCTGTCGTTTGGCTCAAGACACGAGACCAGCAGTGAGCTGTGCGTCCTGAAAGTGTGAACTGTCCGAGTGTTTTGCGAGCTTGCTTGCTTGCAAGGGTGGTTGGTTAAGTTTGCTTGAAGCCCTGAAAGCGTCTGTAGGCTTTCTAGGTTTTTAACGGAAAGAATGGATTCTGCAACGGTTGTGGGGCCCTATTTGGAGAAGAGCGTTCCGAAGCGCCGAGAGGCTTTAGTCAAAAGCTTGCACCAGAGAAAAATTGTGCTTTGGCTGTAAAATAACGCAGGATTTCTTCATTTGTTTAAATGGGCCTACCAACGACAAATTGCCGCCGGCTCAGCTCTCGTCCTCCACATGTGCTTGTCGAATTCTGAGTCAAGCCGTACATCCAGCTCCACACAATTTTTCGTGCTTCGCGGTCTTCTTTATGGAAGATACCAGGAATCGGTTTACGCAGGATTTATTAGTCAAAAAATCCCGGTTGTGCTGTTTTTGCAGTGTTTTTCCAAATTGAAAAATAAGCAGCCGTGCTGGCCCGTGCATAAGCAGATTTTCGCCCAACAGGAAAGAATTTAGAAGTTGCTTAAAAATGTGTAATTCTCAATTTGTGTGTTGCCTACGGGGTTCTAGATCAGACATGTACATCTACTGTGTTTCGATTCGATCGGATTCTATCAACTTGCAGTCTTTGAGGTCTTGGGAGGGTCAAGAGAAATGTCATCATGCCTATGGGAGTATATTAGAGACATGATACTTTGGGCTCTTTTGAAGGCAATCTCCTTCGGGTTGGAATTTGTAGGTGTGTGTTCGTACTAGAACGCCAAACAGACACCTTTTTTCAAGTTCATGGCGGCCATCAAATGGTAAAGGTTCACGGATGTTGAGTATGCGGACGTGCTTGCTCTGTCTTTTCTGTTCCTATTCATGCGAAGAAACGTTTCTCAAGCTTTTCACGCAACTAAATTGTTTCCATGACTTCTTCAAGCACCGAGCCATACTGTATCGCAAGCGAAAACTTTCAACACACCTCCAGATTGCTTTCGTCATCTTGCTGTATAGCTGGAAGTCGCGAAGAGTTTTTTTCTTCATCACAAAGTTTTGGAACCATCCGAAACGAATATTTTTCCCAATTAGGGACGAATACGTCCCGAAACTTCGATTCCATTCCTGTCTCAGCAAAGTGCAACCAGACCGGTGAGCAACTGGAGGTGCCACTGGATCCTAGTGTGCAACTGGAGGCCGGTGTGCAGCTGGAGGTACAACTGGAGGAACGGCAGGGCGAGACTGGATAACCACGGCTGCACCTGGCAGTTGCTGAATGCTATGCCCCAAGCATACACACAAAAAGCAACCCTAGAATCTTTGCGTCCCTAAACCTTGGACCCTCAAACTAAATTACCCCTAAAAAAGTAAACCCTACCTAAAAACATAAACACCATGCTTAGGACACACTGTACGACATGCGGAATCTGAGCACATAGCTACGTTTCAGACAACGAATGCTTACCGCCGCTTACATGTGAAACGTGCTGGCCACCTTCGAATACATTGGGCCGAACTCACTGTGACCCAACCCAGTAGCTGCAACTGATTCAAGATATTTCGATAACACTGACCTTTGGAGGACCCTTCAACCGTTAGTTCAGAACAGGAAGTACGTTGATCAGTGGAAAGGGCTGCTGACAAATAGTCCCACTTGTGGATTTGCTCTGCGCGACTCTGAGAGAGCCAGAGAGAGAGAGAGGCCTCGGATGCATTGGTGTTCTGTTGCGACATCTGCAACGTTTGTGGTTCAAGCAAGCAAGAGGAGTTTTGGGGGAGTGTGGTTAGTTTACAGCACGTGCCGTGGTTGCAAAGACCCATGCAATGTCACACACAGTATCCTGCACCTGTGCTTCAAGGCGGCGTGATGAGGCATTACTCGTGCATCAATGCTGCGTTGATTACAGCATGTGATGCATCGCATGCAATTCTGGAATGTGTCCTCAGCTGTTGAGGCTTTGACAAAGGCTCATGATGTGAGTAGGGAGTTTCTGAAAAGCATCAGTGTGCTTAAAACGTATCCGGTCATTTATCATCCACCCATGTGGTATTTTAGTGGTAGTCCAGGCGCAAGTGCAGCGTAAATTTTTCTTTGTGGAAACATGCCTGTGCTGTCTGCTTTGGTCTTCGCCGGCTCGATTTTTGGATGCCGAAGTGCAAACTCTTGATGCTTGGAATTGGTTTCATCCTTTTCGGTCGATGAAGAGAAGCCCCCCACAAACAGTAGAACGAAGGGCTGTCGGTCTGGGCACGGTAAGTCACGGTGAGTTTTTCCATTTGAGCAAGGCTGGTCTGAAGGCTTCAGTTTTGCCCGATGTTGCCTCGTGGATAATGCAGAGGCGCAATGCACCCTACATGTCCCGCTTATCATGTCATTTGTTCCTTGCGTGCTCCCTGCCCAGTGCTGGGGTGGAACATTCACCTACGAACGATGCTGCTTGCAAGAGTCCTTGATGTCAGAAGCAGATGTTTCTTGCCTGAAAGAGAAGCGCAGGGCAGCAGAGCAAAATAATGTAGCATGTTTTGCTTCTGGTTTCTTGTCGTGCCTGTGCTTGATTGGAACCGTGGGGTCTCTGGTTCAAGTTTCGTGTTCAATCTGGAGCTCCAACCCTTCACACAAGAGTTCGGAGAATTCACCTGTCTGCCGTGACAAGGCTCGCGAAATCCAAAAGCTTACCGACAATGTTGCTCCGATTCGAAGAACTTTGTAGTGGTGCCGGTTTTTGGTCTGTTTTTCGTAAGATGACAAGTCAAGCACGGGATGCTAAGATGCTGGATTGTGGGTGCGAAGTGCCCGACTTGGGGCCACCAGCCTTTCAGGGTGGCTCATTCACATGGTGCTCCTCGTCTTTTTGTAGAGATGTGGTTCAGCGTGCTTCGATGTCCAATTTGGCGCAGCTATGGGATAACGTATTGTCCGTGCTTGCAGGCAAGTATCGTCAAGCAGTAATGTTGAATCAGGTGGGGCTCTTAGATTGAGCTGAGCTTGAAGATTGCCTTTGTTCCTGATCGTGTCTTTTGATTGGACCTAGATGCGAATCGAACATATGTGTTCCATGCAGGACCTGCGGCCATTTTATATGCCCTTTCTGGAGCTCTCTGTGGCCATGCTGAGTGCTTGCCCGCTTGGGGCCCTGTCCATGATGCTCCTCGATGCGTCGTTGAAGATGACGAACTCGCAGGACAGGATCCTGGAAAATTCGAATGGGTGAGGCAATGACAAGATTGAATTTGGCCTGGAGGTGCCCCCGGACTTGAAGAAACTGCCGAGCTTCTTGAGGAAAGACGGGTTTCAAAGAAGCGGTGGGGAAACTTGCTGCTGCGCACGAAGACAGGTCAAGGATGCGATTTGTAGGAGAAGCGATGCATGGAACATTGATTTCCCTCAGGGTCTGTAACGGCTGACTTGCTGAGAAGTTGGTTGCGTGCAATCGAGCAGCTTGTACTCCTATCTGTGAAGCACATGGTGTTGCATAACCGTTCAATTGACTTTGGCATCGCTCAAATCGGATCCACCGTAGCCTGATGCGGCATTGTATTGATGGTGGTTAGCGATGCGAAGTGATTGAGGTGAGGCATTCATGCCCTGGTGATGTGTGTAGTTGCTGAGGCTGTTCCTTTCTACTGCATTCGAGATCGCATGAAACGATGCTTGTGTTACCTCTCCTGTTGTTCCCCAGGGCGCAGGAGATGATGCATCTGCTGCTGCAGTCGGATTCCTTGTCCCTCATCGGCATGGCGACGTCCGGATGGATGATCTTCAACCAGGCCAGTCAATTGTCGCACATCAGCCTGAATGTTTTGTGTGGTCCGCCAGATGAGTAACCTCCGTGGAGCCGTGCAGAGACGTTTGGGTGGTACGTGGGGCGATGTTGCCCCATGCCTGCAGCTGCCGGGAGCTGGGACCCATGCAGCCAGGAGCCATTTTCTGCGAGTAAGAGATAACAACTTGATGCACGTGCAGAACAGTCATGGTCTTAAGATGCAGGGTTGGCTGATGTTGTTCCCCTGACTCTGCAAGCAATGGATGTAAGTGACCGCCGCGTAAAAGCACGAGGCGGAAGCAGCCTCTGTGGCCTGTCTTCGCAGGATGGCTAGGTACAGCATTGCAGCTACATTGTAGCTGCCCGCAGGATTTACCAGCTCGTCACTGATGCTGTGAACTTTATGCCTGTAGGCGGGGCGTGATTTCGGGGGAGGAATTTGCAATTTGTGCTAGAGCGAGAGCTCCAGTCCTTTACTGGAGCCCCGTTTCATGCTTCTGCAGACTTCGCCGTTTGGGATGTCAGTTTGTTTCTCTCACGTACTTGCAATGTCAGACAATGTGTTGGAGGCATAACCAGCCTCCTTGAGACCTTGCTGGATGCAAGTGCATCAACCATAACTTGCAGTCTGGCACGTGCTGGCCTGCTGTTGTAGCTCATCTGCAGTACTGCAAGTTTGAACGAAGCTGCTCAAGCTAGTCAGCTAGTCTCCCATGCTTTGTGTTGCGGCCTTGCCTCGAGGATCGTAGCGCAGTCCATGCTGCAGCAGACAGTTCAGCCGGAAGAAGAGGCCATCGCAAAAGTGCCAGGACCATTCGTCCGAAAATGCATTGGACTGGTGCTGCGACCTTGGCGGGACGGGGAGGAGTGCCACCCGGGCCTGGCATGGAAGCCAGGAGCCTGCTGCGAATAGGCGAGGCCAGCCTACGACGCTTGTCTACAGCGGCTAGCGGTGCGGGAGAAAAGCAGATATCTTTGCACATTGAGGCCAAGGGCTGGACTCAGAAGCCAAAGCCTGCCGACTCGAAGCACTGGGCATTTTGATGGCGTCTCCGTGGCCAATCACCGAAGTCTTGGATCTTCTTAGCTATCCTGGCCGGCTGGTGTTGCCGGTCAGCTCCTCAGCCCCTAAGAGCCTCAGTGCCAGACCCGTTGCACAGCGCCTTGCGCTTGCCAGGTCGCCAATGCAATGCAGACTCTTCTGGAATTGCGACAGGTGAGTTGCCCAGTTGCTCTAAGTTCAGACCCAAGAAGAAAAGGTGCCCAGTTCGTTTGCTGAGGAACATCCATTGCTGGAGCGGGCCCTGACCGCGGCAAGTGGCCACAGCGGGAGCAATGCCGAGCCCAGGAGCTCCTAGACTTCAGCCTGAACGTCTGATTCGGGGGCCATGGTGGGAGTCATCGGCAGGGATCAAATTTCACCAAAGTGCTGAAATGTGAAAGCATATGCAGGCATCAAGTTTCCACAACATCCGAGTATCTACATGGCCCCACTGTTTTTTTTTTCATTTTTTCGTGGCGAGTTTGGTACTTGCCAATGTTTTCGCATTTCAAGCTTTAGGATTTTTTTGGGAAATTTGCGCCTGGCGGTATGTTGGCGACCCCAGATGCGAAAGCATCCCCAGGGATCAACCATCCTCAATATCATACAAGAAAATGCCGTCAGCCTCAAAACACACAAGCAGTGCACAATCGCAAAAATCTGAATAACAGATGGTCTTACAGATGCCTGGATGTTGCGGCTTTGATAATTTCTGAGCCCTGCCGAGGTTTGCGAACTTCAGCCTAAAGTTGAACAGTATGTTGTAGTAGCAATATTGACAGTGCTAGGAGAGCAACTTTACTATTGAAACGCGTTTGTGGACGCTGTAGAAAGTTTTATGCGGACACACAAGATTTGTATAACTTTGCATCTTATTTTGAGAAGGTCGGGTCCGAGTTTCTTCCGTGAAGAAAAGTCTTGCGAAGAAATGTAGAACCTTACTCGTTGACTGAACTGAGACAAACGATACATGACTTCTCACCCGTGATATTCCAAGACTAGCACGAAGTCCTATACCTATGAATGTGAAGCGAAAGAGCTCCCTAATTTCTCGTGGTGGGGACGAGTCTGTCTGTCTGTCTGTCTGTCAGTCTGTCTGTCTGTCTGTCTGTCAGTCTGTCTGTCTGTTTGTCTGTCCGTCTGTCTGTCTGTCTGACTGTCTGTGTGTCTGGGTGTCTGCGTGTCTGTGTGTCTGTCTGTCTGTCCGTCCGTTTGTCTGTCTGTCCATCGGTCGGTCGGTCGCTCTGTCTGTCCGTCGGTCTGTCTGTCTGTCTGTCTGTCTGTCTGTCGGTCTCTCTGTCTCTCACTCTCTATCCCTCGCTTTCGCTCTCGCTCTCGCTCTCGTTCTCGCTCTCGCTCTCGCTCTCTCTCTCTCTCTCCGTCTCTCTTCTGTCTCTCGCTCCCCAGCTCGCTCTGTTAAATATAGCCAGGCCAATGTATCACGAATGTTCACGATGCAGTTCTTAATGCTACGATACCGACATTTGCTCATGAGTGGACAGATCGGCCTGACGTCACAAGGGAATGTCTGCTTGAGTGTGGTGTCTGTGGGGAAGAAGATTGATCTGGGTTGCTCTGGATAGTGTAGATTGTACTGTTGAAGTGTGCATGGTAGCGGGTGGGGTTTGGAAACAGAAGCATTGGTGGTGAGATCAAACTGTTCCCGCCACCAGTGTATCATGGAAAGTTGGAGAAATTGGAAAACTGGTCGTGGCAGCTGAAGCGATATGTAGGACTGTGCAAGCCACTGGCCAAATTGTTGATGGACGGTGTTGAGGGATCCAGCCGAATGATAGATGATCACCTTTGTGAAGCATTTGATGTGCAACAGACTAGGAGTCAGAATAATATAGAATAATGAACTGTCACTGTTCTCTAGGCAGCTGGCTTACATGTTGGCCCAGATCACTAATGGTGCCACATTCGCGATTGTTCGCAATGAGGAAACAGAGAATGGATTCGGGATGTGGCGTCTATCAGGCTAGGAGACGAAAGGGCTATGTCATGTTGGATTGAAGGATGGCAACGTGCAGTGGCAAACAAAATCCGTTTCGGGGTTCAGGCGCGTTTCGTCTGACACAAATATGTATAACAAGTAATGACATATGGGCGAAGTGGACACACCACTGTAAATATCGATGTTTTGTGTGTGTGTGTGGAGACAAACAGAGACATACACGAAGCAGGTGACAGTTGTGCATACATACATACACCTACACACAAGCCGAGATGCTCAGGCGCAAGTTTTGACGTTTTATTCCGCCTGTTGACAGCCAGACCGGTAGTCATAAGGATTCATGCGACATTGATTGGCAGAATGTTAGCCAAGCAACACAGCCAGAGATCTCTGCTGGCCCGTGTGAGATGCAAGACACCGCTTCGCCGAGGTTAATTTCAAATGACCGACCGACTCAATTTTTGAAGGTGTAAATGCAGAGTTTCTTGCCTTGTCAACTTGGCCAGGCTACATTTTCCGCGTGAACCCATACCGAGAAATGGTCAGCGATATGGTGCGCTACACAAAGCTTCCATTCTGTGGCTTGCGGCCGTTTATGCGGATGGTTGCAGACGTTGCGAAAGATGCACTCCAAGCGGGCTGCGCGACAAACGCTGCATATTTGGGTGATGCAGAGACCTGCAAGTTCACCTTCGTCGAAGGAGGTGCTGTTGATGTTTACATAGAGAAAGCCTGTGTTCGTCCATCTCTAAACGGACCTCTCGTCGAAGTGTTTCCCACGGCTAATTTCACGGTGACAAGCTCCAGTCTGCAATGGCGATAGTTCCAGCTATAGCCGTGTAAGTTCAGTGTTTGATGTTGAGAAGCATCCTTGGAGCTGTGCTCTGAGCCCACGGTCGTAACCCATCGTAGAAGTGCGCTGTAAGGAACTTGCAGTCTGGTCCTGTCGTCTGGCGGTCAGGCCCTCACCTGGGCGACTGCGCATTGTGGGCATCCGCAAGCCTTCGTATCTTGTCTGTCATGTACAGCATGCAGCGGTTGCTGCGGTGCAGAGATGTCACTACTCCTATAGGCCTGGCTGGGGTGCAGACGCGGGCCCTTGCTTTCGAACCATTACCTGATGCAGCCACCCTGTTTCAACAGAGCCACAGCAGCAGAGTATGCCGGGTTCTTGCACACAAAGTCCAGGCAGCATTAGCCATCTGCTTTTCATGTCCTGAAGCGAGGAGTGTGGCCGAGAATGGCCTATCTGCATCTGTGCAAGTGCGCAATGCAGCTCTTGGGCAGATGACTGGCCAAACCGAGCTGATCCATTTCCGTGGTCACAACGGCCAGGAGCAGAACTTAAAATGCTATGAAATACTGTTACCAATACGGTTCCGGTGCATGATGCTGGCGATCCAGCGCAAGAAGAGGCCGGAGGGCCTCCTGATCGGACGTTTCATTTCCCCTGAAGGCAACCGTGAATGACTACGATTTCCCATCGCAAGACAGACGTGAGGCAGTCAATGCACGAGTGTTTTCACTGCCCTGGGGACGCGACTATGTTTCAATGTGCGGTGGCCCAGGTTGTGACAATACCTGCCGTAGAGGTGGCTTTGGATGATGAAGTACCTGCGAACTGGCCGCAGATTGATGCTCTTAAGTTGAGCGTTAACGGTGCTGAACGAAACACACTTGTCCGCCCCTCAGAGCTGTTTCGTTGCTTTCGAGCACACGACCATTCCAAGCTGCAGCGGCTCAGGCAGGTGCCCGAAAGCTGCTGTCGAAGAGACGGGTTTGCTCTGTGCCTTGGTTGAAAGGAATCTCGGGGCTGCGAGGTCTGCAAAACGGCCCTGCAAGCCATGCAGGCGGCAAGAGTTCTGAGGTCCTCATGCATGCGACGAAATGCAAGAGGTCTCATGGCTTCCATCTTCTAGGGCTACGGGTTTCTGGTTTCTTACTCCTTGCCCCCGACTCTCCGGAGGGGCAGACGTCCGCCTTCCGAAGATCCCGCTCCGAATTCAAGGGCTTCCAAGCTGCTTGGCACTGGCGAGCAATTCCACAGCAGCCACAGGATTTAATCTTGATGACTGAGGTTTGCTTATGATTTGATGACGTTTCTCAGTGAAGGGAGACTCAGCTGAACTCAGCGCTCGCAGGTGAACGGGCGTGAAGTAAGACCGAGTTCTGGGCAGTAATTCTTGTCTATGGCAGTTGCACAGAAAATTCCACCAGGTCCTGCAATTGAAAGGTTCCTGAAGCAGTCCTGCCTCTGGGTCGCGATCGACACATTCCTGCACGATAACCCAATACTCCTCTGATGTTCGTCAAGTTTGCCAAGTCTTAAGTCCGCAGCTGCCTCTGACCACGTCAGCAAGGGATGCCCCAGTTTCCAGGCAGATGAGCACACAATGCAATGCCGGGCTTCTTCCTCGGCAAAGACTGAAGACGTGCTCCGGTGAGATTACGGTGTGTGCGAAGCAGCATCGCTGGACACAAGCTCTGCAACTGCTCGAGGACGTATCGTTGGATTTACAGCCAGATGTTGTCGTATTGAATGCGGTTTTGAGTGCTTGTGCCCGTGCAAACTGCTGGGTCACTGTTCTAGAACTACTGCAGTCCATGAAGCTGCAGACGATGAAACCGAACATCGTATCCTACGGCGCAGCAATATCCGCGTGTGCAGATGCCTGGCAGGCAGGCCTTCATCTTCTGGCTGAGGTGTCTAGCCAGAGACTGGAATTGAACGTTTTCGTCTGCAGCTCTGCCATCACAGTTTGTGGAAGCCAGTGGCAACGAGCCTTCGAAATTTTCGGGAAGATGTATGGCATGGCTGTGCTACCCAACCTGGTGACGATGGGAGCTGCCATAACTGCATGCGAGCGTGGTCACCAATGGCTGTCAGCCTTGGACCTGCTCCAGCTGACGGAAGCTGCAGGGTGGAAATTAAACTTGCAGATCTTGTGTGCCGCGATGAGTGCTTGTGGAAAAGCTGGCCACTGGCAGCCTGCAGTTGCACTGCTGGAGGAGCTGCCCGTCCAGAAGCTCGAAACGGAATCCTACGCGTGCAGCACTGCAGTTAGTGCCTGTGGCGGGACTGCGCAGTGGCAGCGGGCCCTCTGCCTCTTCTTCGATCTCTCCGCATCAGCGGTAAAAGCCAACGAAGTCACGCTGGGATCGGCCATCGCAGCGTGTGAAGCAGCAGGCCGTTGGGAAGTCGGCCTTCGACTCCTTCACCAGAGTGAAGACATGAACATAATACTGGACCTTGCGTGTGTGAACTGTGCCATCGGTGCTTGTCAAACGGGAAGCCAGTGGCAACTGGCACTGTGTTTGTTTGCGGACTTCAGAGCGTCGCGACATATCCGACCCAACGATCTAACCTACAGTGCCCTCATGCGCGCGTGTCGACGGGCCTGCCAGTGGGAGATGGCCCTGAGCCTCTGGGCAGAGTATGAAGAAGTCCATCACATGTCGAATCTTCTCCCTCTCAGCGAAGCGGTGAGTTCTTGTGAGTCTGGCGAAAAATGGGATCTAGCGCTATGTTTGCTAGGAAAATGTGTGGATTTCCGGCTTCGGCTGGACGGCATCCTCTGCGCGTCTGCGGCCAGCGCATGCCAGAAAGCACATCGATGGCAAGAGCCTCTGCACATGCTTCATCTCATTCGAACTGGAGGCCTTGAAGCGAATTTGATTGCAAGTAGTGCTGCCACCATGTCCTGCGGGCTGGTACCTTCACAGTGGGAGCGCGTGGTTCAACTGGTGGCGCAGATGGACATGCTGTGGCAGCGTGATGCTGCAATTCAAGCTGTGTTCGCGGCTACCTGTGAAGCCGTCGGGCTGGGGCATGGCTTGACTGAATTGCTGGAGGAGACTGCTGAGCTTACGCTTGTAGCGCTAGAGTCCGTCGAAGCCAGAAAGTTGCAGAATGCGAGGGCTCTGGTACAGACCTGGTTGGGGTTGGTGGACTAAATACTAAACGGGCAAGGTTATAGCACCGTTCGCTTTTTCTTTGTAGCTCAGGAACATGGATGTTTACGAACACAATGATGCCACCTCTGGACAAGGCCCGCATGTGCATGGTGGCATAGTGCCGGTGCTTTGTAAAGGGAACAGTGCGAGGGTTTCTGAGAAGGACGCGGACGAGTTCAACGAGTTCGCTCGGCGGACGAGATGGATTCAATCTTCGACCATCCTCAGCTTACGGAGCAGGCACTAGCTCACTAGCCCTAAGCAGACAGGAGGGGCCAGAAGGGAAGGGAGAGTGAGGAGGGCGGGGAAATGCGGGGAACAATACTCATACTCCACGCGGTGAGGACAGGCGGGGAAACTTCTTGCGCTGCATCACCAGAGGATGTGAAAGACTGCTGACATTGCCGACCATCGTGCGACTGCAGAAATCCAGCAAAATAGCCATCCTTAATTCGGGTCGAAGCCGTCGAGCTTTTCGCGCCTGAGATCGCCCGCTAGCTGGTTGAGGTCCTTCCGTATCCGTTACGAGAATCTGCTTCTCCCGAGGCCCTAGCCCTAGCTGCGCGGATCTTATCCCTCCCACTTTATCCGGCAGTTCATTTGTTCCGGGAGTTCCAAGGCCGGCCAAACGCATTTGGCCCTGGTTTCCCCCGAATCTGGAGCTCAATGCCGTCCCTCCCCCCGAAAATCGTGCAGAATTTGGTTTCCAGGGTCACAAAATGCAAACATTGAGGCCTGGAAAACGCAAACAGAGCTTGTTTCAGCCCCACTCCCCGAACTCGAATCGAGCTCCCGAAATCCCCCCGGCAAAACCCAAATGCCTTGTTAAGGCCTGCCAAACGCCGAAAGGCCCCACTCGACCAAGCCTAAATGCATTTTCCAAGGCCTGCTAAACGCATTGCCGCAAATCTGGAGCTCAATGCCGTCCGTAAAACCTTGTAGAGACAAGAGAGAGCAGCGCGCGCAAGAGAGCGCGCGCAAGAAGAGAGCGCGCACAAGAGAGCGCGCAAGAGAGCGTCTGCAAGAGAGAACGCAAGAGAGCATGCGCAATAGAGAGATAGAGAAGAGAGAGAGAGAGACTTTTTTGACTTTGAGTTCGCAGAACCGTCCCCTGGTCCCATGCGCGGCGCTGGCGACACGCCAAATTCAAGAGTGAATTCGGCGCGGCTGACGAGAGCTGTGAAAAAACACATCGCCGTAGGCTAACATCCAGCCCAGTATGAGCCGAATGGGAACAAGACATCGTCAACAACGGACTACTGCAGCTGCGCGAAAGCTCAGCTTTCGGCAATCACAAGTCCGCAGTAAGTCGGCAGCATAAGATATAACAGTTCCCACTCGGAATCCGGGAGTATGTAGGATGACATACTTCAGCCGGCTTGTCATCATCCGTACACCACCAGGTGTAGGTTCGGCTCCCCGAAGGGGGCCGACGGGCTCCCCGAAGGGGCCGAAATCCCCTGTGCACCCACGGGCGTCATTCCCCGATCAGCTGACGCAGTCATTGACACCTGAGTGGAGACAGCAGATGCATCGCGAGGGTGCGTCAGAAACGTGCGATAATGCCCTGTTTGGGGTCGCGACCCCAGATATAGAACCCTGCCACAAGAGAGTAGGATGTCCATGCGACGTCATGAGCTCGGCCCTGAAAGATCGGAAAACAGGCCTGCTGCATGGCCTTGCACGGCAGCCTGATCCGATTTTTGCCTCTGGCGATGTTTGCATATCGGGCAAGACAGACAAGCAGACAGCGCGGTGTGCCAACCAGACCATGTGGCAGGTTTTGCTCATGCCATCCCACTACGCATTCCTGTAGCGTGGCATGGTCACGTCTGGGGAGGAGGAGATCAATCCATGTGGTACCGTAGATGAGCGGTCTGCGAGCCTCAACAGAGCCAGGCAGTGGTCTAGCCTCCCATCGACAATCCGGGAAGGCAATCGGATTACGCTCAAGAAGATGAAGAATGAGCTCCATGCAATCCTGCTGCCGATGTAAGTGCTGCCACTCCCTGAGCAGCGAACACCACTCTGGTAAAGTTGAGAGCACCAAGCCTGCGGAGGAATCGGGCTGGGGTCGCTCATGCCAAAGCGAGGATAGCGCTTGTTCTAAAGCATTGGCACCCCCGAGGGGGCCGGATGGCAATCGAATGGCACAGATGTATGCCAGCAAGTACACAGCGGCATGCAGGTAACAGTGATTACCAGGATTGTGGAGAGTAAGAGATGCTAGCGGTGTGGGCAAGGCAAGCTCGTGCAGCGAACTGGGGCCCAGACAGTTTACCATCCCACCGCCTCCGAGACGGTCGCCGTCTCCCTTGCCATTGAACCTTGGATGCTGGACGTGGCGGATGCATGGCACCGCATGACGGATCCGTACCCTATATAGCGAGGCTTGAAACCCTGTTCACCATAGTAGGTTGGATTCCAGGCGTCTAGGCAAGTGGAAATCCCTCCGACTAGAAATTTCCTGTCCGCATCTGTCCGCCGGTAGTAGTTGAAAAATGTTGAAAATGCCAGCTTAGACGAGGAGCTGGGTGATCAGCGCGTGGGTCTCGGGGCCGTAATCTTCGAAACTCCACTTGACTGCACTCACTTTCCTTCTTTCTTTCTTTCTTTCTTTCCCATGGCTTTGGCGCACTGACTCACTCGCTCACTCACCTCGCTCTCGCTCGCTCTCTCTCTTGCTTTCTTCCTCAAGGCATAGGGGACGAGTTAAGATCTCCTTGATCAGCGGCGACCGCTCGGGGCGGGCGGGTTTGAGACGAAGGGACAAGAGCAGCAGGGCTGAGGATGTGTACCACTTCCGGAAGATTGCCATGGCCTCCGCCGCCTCCGGGTGCTGCATCGACAACTCCAGGACAAAGTTTGCCGTCTCGGACACAGACTCCGGCTGAGCATTCCTGGCCGCCGAGAAACGCAAGATCAGCTCCGGCGATTTCAGGAGGACCTTGAGGCGGCGAGCATCCACTAGGACCTGATCCTGAGTGAGCGTCCCCCTGTCGAGGGACGAGTTTTTGTTCCTCAGAATTCCAATCCAGGAAGTTGTGCTCCAAGTCGCTCGTCACCCATCCCATCTCCTGCGCCTGGGCCTGGGCTCCCTTGTCGCTTCCAAAAGTCGTCACTCTGGTGACGATCTCCGCTGCCAAGTACTGGAGCAACACTTGCTTTAGAGTCTTTAGAGACTTGGTAACCTGGCCTTTGCTGCGCTGCTCCCGCCAGTTCGCAGTCACCTCGCTGAGGGCAGTGACTGTTGCGAAGGGTGAAGACCACTGTGTGATCGCTCTGTAGGCGTGCCAAATAATCGGATTGCGCAATCAGAGCCTTTGCGACCCGATTCAGAAGAGTGTGATCGTCCAAAGAATTGTTGGAGCGTCCTCTGCGCTCGTCCTTGCCCCGGCTCCCTGGTGCAGGGGCCGGCTGACGTTGACTCCGCCCCTTTTGAGGCTGCTGAGTCTGCTGAGTCCGATGACCGCCTTGGCTTGGCCCCCCGTTGCCAACCGGATGTGGATACTTGGGGGGTTGCTCCGGAGCCAGCTGGAGTTGACGCTTGCAAGAGGTCGCCGAAGACCTTCTTTTCCTCCACGTCCAACTCCATGTCCGAGAGACCGTTCGGTATGGCCATGCTGTGCTGCAACGCCTAGGGCAGGTGACTGCGTAGTAGGAGGTCGGTGTGAGCTGAAGCTCGCCTTCATCAGACAGCACATCCGAGCTTGCCACAGAACCGGGCAGGTTTCAGAATGCTGGTCAGTACGCTTCATGACATTACCGCAAAAAGCGCAAGGCGAAACTAGATGACCAACTTTTTTGCAATCTGCAGTCGCCGCTGCGCAGAATTCCTCATAGGCGCTCGGATGGACCTGTCGATAGTGCAATATGATGCTGCGAACAGAGACGAGCCATTGGCCACAAACCGCACAAAAGTGTCGGAGGATCGATAGCTCGAGTGTTTGGTTGTTTGGCGAAGTGCAGCCAGTTCTGAGGGGGTAGGGGAGGCATTTCGGCGAGCAACGTACCTGGCACAGCCTGCAGATCAAACTCGACCCACCTAGGGAGCGGCCTGGGGCGTCGTGAAGTGCTGGGGTTGGAGTGAAACGAGGCTCGCGGGAGGGCAGGTGGTAACTGAGGCGGTCGCTTCAACAGGGGCAGTTGTAACAAAAGAAGATAGCGGAGGCTCATGAGAGGAGTCCGGGTGCAGGGCTCCATGCCGATGTGCAAAGTAACATAATCTTTTCTACAGTGCCGACAAACCGGCATTCCGTCAAGACTATGACCCCTTACCTCAGCCGCATTGAATGAAGCATGGGGATTAGGCAGAGGCGCCTGATGATGCTTGTCCGCGATGTCTTGACTGAAATTCGAATCAGCCGCGCAAGTCGGAACGGATGATGGGGGCGGAACCTGATCCAGGTGCGAGGATAGGGCGAGCTTGGATGTTGACTGCTGCGCAGAAGATACGCCAAAGGATCTTCTACGCCCAGGCGGGCAAGAAGATCTTTACTGGGTTCCTAGGTCATGTGCGCGAAACTCCTGGCAACGGCACGCAAGTGCTTCACGACAGTGATAGTATAATGCGAGCCAGGTGTTTTTGTTGCAAGTCAAGCAAATGCAGGCCATAAAATGCAGAGCTCCGTACGCAGGCAACTCAAAGCTGAACTCTCTTGTGTAAAGGCAGAGTACGAGAGTGGAGAACTTTGAGTAAACGCGCTAGTTTCAGAGGGCCGCAAAAGGGAGGAGGAACAAGACAGGTATGAGGAATACGACGGTCGGCATTTTTGGACCCGCATAAAAACATGTTCTGACATCTCTGATAATGGAACTATTTGAAAAGGTCATTTTATCATACATTATATAGTACAATCATATCAAGCCAGGCCCCAAAAAAACATGTCAAATTGCCAGGCGAAAGTCTTAGTACTTAATGCATGAGTGGTTGGTCTTGTTTCACAGAAATTGTTGATAGTAACTTTGCGTGTGGCTATATTGTTTTTTGCGACAATATTGATGGAAATGTATGCAAGCACGTGAGCAAGAAACTGCAAGCAATGATACATTAAAAAGATTGCCCGGCAGCACTCACTACT